ATGATTTGTCGCTTTAGCGTCATGGCGTTAGGCTGTGCCACGCGGAGATGGAGCCTACATAAAATCAGAACTATATTTTCGCGCCCAAATTAGGAGGACACCGTACGCGCGTTACATCTTTTTAAGAATGGACGATTTGGTGGGTTGCGATTATGGCCAACAACTTTCTAAATACAAGATGCCGTTTTCTTTTCTAATTAAAAGGTTAATTAACGAATTTTAGGCAATCGGTCGGTTTTAGTTGCGTTCGTTATTGAACCTAATCCTCGCCTGGCCGTATAGCTCACCTACACAAACCGCAATGGCGCTAATTTTCACTGGACAATTTGGTGGCTTTCGATTACGCCCAACAACTTTATAAATCAACTATCCCGTTTTCTTTTATAATCAAAAAGTTTATTAACAAATGTTAGGTAATCAGTCGGTTTTTGTTGCGTTCTTTCTTGAACCCAATCTTCGCCTGGCCGTTTAGCTCACATCCACAAAACGTTAATTTCCACGTTTTTTTCTAATATCTAGTAGGTGAAAAAAAAAAAAAAAATAAACGTTGTATATAAAATAGAGGGCAGTTCTTTTCTGATATAAATAAAGCGTGGGGCACGCGTCTTGCATGCATCTTTTTTTTTTTTTTTTTCCGGCCTATGAAAACAAATCCCGGGACATTCGAAATTGAGTTTATGATGGGGCGGGCGCATTATCACGGGGTATTTTGTCATGTTTCATAAGCTTTATTACTAGTCAGAAGGAAGCCACGCGAGCCGCATCACGTTGCAAACAGCTAATTCGGGAGTTTCTCAAGCAGCTCTAGAACTTTCCAATTGACATTTTGGTTCTTAATACATCTAAAAAAGTTTGGTACTTAGTCCTAAACATTTAATTTATTAGGCATAATTAAAAATACTGCAACTCTCGCAAGACGTCTACCCAAAACATAAAGTTGGCTTCATTGGCGTAAAGTGGCTGCGTCTTTCATTTTTATGCTTGGTCTTTAAAGATTCGTGAAAAGCATTCGCGACCTTATCTGTCAAGGCGCGTACGCGGACAGCGCGGCCTCCTCGGCAAGTTGTTCCCTCATCGAAGACGACAATGAATAAAAGGTGCGATAAAAATCTTAATGCCTGAAAAAAGCGCAAGTTTAAAATACTTCTAAGAATGTCAGTTGATTTTATTTCTACTATATTCAAATTTCAACACTCGTCGCGGGCAGCATGAAAAGAAGCACTGCACTCTTGGCGCAAACCAGTGCCCAGTCAACGGTTCTACACTCAAACACGCATCACCACCCGACCTGTTTGAAAAATAAATAATTTTCAGTACTTTTGGTAGAAAAGGCGAATTTTCTACTGAGCGTGATATTTTGTGCACCCAAAAGTCCTGTAGCCGGGATCGGTAGTTAATAGCTTCAGGAAGACGAAGAACGACGGATGCATTATTTCCCGCGGAAGTACTGTTTTGAATTTGAATTCCACATAAAATTGTATATGCACAAATTGTGGCACGATACCGAACTTGCTTGATTACTTTTCTTTTAAAGACAACATAACCAGGCATAATCTACAGATATTGCCGAATTCATTTTAATTGGCGTACAGCGCGAAAGACAAGTATGGACATAAAGAACACAATAGAGCTATGCATCTCTACTGCATTTCTTTCCGTACTTGTGGACAGTTACTCCGCATGACTATATTCAAAAACTGCGAAATCGTTTAAGCCTACCCCTTTTTATAATTTTTTTCGTAGATGAATTGTGGCGAATCCCGGCTGGGTTCGGGTAAAGATCTCGCACGTGTTCAAGGACACATTTCGGCATGATTTCCCGCTTGGTGACGACGTTGAGCTGACCGCTGTTCCACTCCTTTTCTAAGTAGGCGGGGAACGCCAGACGCCTAAATTATCCAAGCAGCTCCAAAACTTGCGGTAGTACACCTTCCGAACTCCTGGTTTTTTTTGGAGATGGCCTTCGCCCACCCTGACAAAGCCCTAAACAATTATGTAAGGGCTGCAGAGGCTATCTGGGCATTCCGTTTCTTCATCAGCGAACAAATGCGAAGAGAAGAGAATGAAAACTTCGTAATACCTGCTGTCTTTTAATAAATGGCATAATATTGCTAGTGACATAATATTGCTAGTTGCACTATTTTACGCGAAGAAAATTGTGATTTTGCGGTTCTATCTCCGTGTTTCCCGTTCTCTTTGCTGATACGCAAGATATTTGTCGGGTGTCAAGTTTTCAGTTACATTTGTCGACAGAAACTAAATGCACGTTTGGCCACGAAGAAATTTTTTTCAAAGGCTGAAGATAGATGAAATATACCATAAACCGTTTCAGTTTTTATGGAAGTTTGTTTTTACTCTTCTTAGTAGCTTCAACGAGGCGGCCGTCACTCTAGAAAACACCTGTAGTACGAACCTATATATTATGCCCCAGGAATGGTCAGACTGGGTCCCTCTGACTGCAATATCTTTGACTTGTAATTACTTATGATTATTACTTTGTACAAAAAAAAAACAAAAAAACAACACAATAGTGATATAATCACTCTTGAGTGTGCCGTTTTTAGAACGACAAATTTTCAACTCTCTGGGTAGAGCTCAAAGTTTGGATAAAAATACCCATCTTTTTTCCTTCTGCTGTGATGTTCAAGTTCCGTTCACTCGAGATAAATATGCGGTGGTGTAGCGTGTGTGGCCGCATGCGAAAGTATCTGAATGTAAAAGAACTTGTTGTTGGGCTAGTTGGTGTTGACTATCTGAGTGTGTTTTAGAACTGCAAAAAAAGAGCAAAAAAAAAAAAAAGAAAAAAAAGAAGAAAAGCGAGTTAGCCCGAACCCTTCCGAGCTCATTTCCAGCCTGCCTAACTAATCCCTGGTTTTTGGGATTGAAGCAGAGAACCTTGAAGGGTTACAGAGATTTTGTCGGGGGGCCGGTAAGCCCATTAGCACTCGTGCGAGAAGGCCGTAAAAAGCGAGGAGGAAAATAAAGGAGGAATTGGGCGGAGGAAAAAAAGAAAAGAGGGGGAATTTTCTGCCACGCTGAAGAAAAGTTTGAGCCCCCGCCTTTAAACAAAAATATAATCGAGTGAGGCAAGTTTGTGCAGTTTTCACATTCAATAATCTTTTTTTTTTTGAAGCCGAGTCGTGACTTGGTGTATTAAACTGAATACCTCAATAATGAACCTATGATATCTCAAACATAGAAGTGTTCAAAGTTCTACAGTTTGATGTTAGATTTGACTTTCCTGTTATGAAGCGATGTCAATACAAGGAAACAGGATTTTACGCGCGATTGTGGAGGCACTATAACTCTAGCTTACCCGCCCTGCGACGCACGTTTCCGCCGGTGGAGCTCGCCATGGCTTTACCAGCTGACAAGCATGAGCACTGCCCACTCGCGGCATCTAGCGGCAGTTTTGCAAACTGAGTGGTACTCGAAAGGGTGCGTCCGGTTTCGCGTCTATACTATTGATTACATATGCTCACGGCACATGATTTACAAATGCACCTGTTTGGATACCCAAAAAATGGGCAAATAGAGTTTTCTTTTTTCTTTTTTTTTTTGTACAACGAAAATTGTGAATTTGTGCTCAATTTTTGTGTCTACAAAATGAAAATTGCTCCCTGATCATACGAAACCTATCTAAAAATTCGTGAACACTTACGCTGCACGTAAGGTGAAACACTGCGACACCTGAGGTGTGACGCCGAAGCTGCTAAGGAGTTATTTCCGAGCAAATAGACTGAATCAACGATAAACGCACGACCGCGCACCATCGAGTGCGCATAGGTTTTCTGTATTACATCGAACAACACACCGGACAAAAATTCCTTACCGCTTTGGAACCCATGGGGGTGTAATAAGTAGAGAACATTTCGAGAGCCTGTTCAACGGTTTTATTGAACACAACTCAGGGCTGCCCTATGATCATTGTAGAAGACTTCGAAAATCGCGTGCCCAAGTTTTTAAATCCAGGGAACGAGGAAACTGCATGTGTATACCAGTCGTGGTGTGGCTCCCTGAACGTTTTATGGAAAGTTATTGGTCATAAACTAACACCGACCCACGTTTCCTGGAGAACGCTTCAAAAATTGAGGACTCAAGCATCAAGCACGTAGCTCTAAACCTCCCGCCTGTGGTATCGCTGACTTAACGCCGACCTAGTTCTATTGATTTTTATTGACCGAGAACTTTTCTGACATAATTAGCGAAAACGCTTCGTTTCTGATCGTTTCCGTTATCACCAGTCTTATGTTTACGTTTCTACGTACCTTTATGGTGTCACGTGACGACCTATTGTCACGTGACGAGAGTGTCAAGTGACGTCATGACATCACGTGACTCACGCTGTCATCTGACGTCATTAAGTCGCGTGACGTCACTGTGCAACGTGTCTTGACATGATAGTGTCACGTGATGGTGTCAGCTGACGCAGGTAACAGGGCAAGTGATTCGCGGTGTGACTTCAGTGTCGTGGCGAGCGGCGTGACGTTTATGTGGAATCTTACGGCAAAGTGCCGAAAAGGGCCCACGTTTGATGCGAAGCGACGTATTCAGCGCGATGCCCGCAGAGTTCCCCACTAACTGTTGCGGTACTAAAAAAAGAACTTGCGTCAAATCGCTCCCCTTGTGCTAGGGATGAGCCAAGTTTTTCCTTCACTATATTATGCTTTTTTTTAAGAACACATAGTCAACACTAAGGTATACGTACGAGTCTTCAAAACGTACAAAAGCACTCTTTTCACACTATGTAAACGTAGTTTATGCAAACGATCAAGGAAAAAAGTTAAAAGCTTTCATTCGGTACTAGAAGTGAACATGTGCGAATTGTTAATAGTATATGCAATATGAAACAAATTATATAGTTTATATTATTCTAACCACCACATTTTTCAATCTATCTCAACCGTTGCACCATAAAACAAAAGGCACCAGAAACATATTTTACTAATATACATCAAAATGAAATTCTTTTGTTCAGACTGACGATTCTCTTAACACAGGCGTGCCAATTGCCGCAGAATTACACAGGGGAGCCTACTATGGGTCCAGCGTACACAAGGCTTGGCCCTCATTATCCCTCTAATTCTGCGATGACATATGACGGCCCTGACGAAATTAAGTGGAAGGTAAGATTTTGAGACCTTTGTAATCCTTTCATTGCATTCTCCAAACAGCATTGTAAGTAGCGCAGCCAGCTGTTTTCTACTGTAGAGAAATACATAAGAAAATATAGACAAAATTGGCACACTGTAGCAATCTATAAAGATACTGACTTTGATACCGAAACTCGTGCTGCAAAATATTATGTCAAACCTTCAATTTATTTATAGTTTTGTAATAACTGAAATTTTATTTGACATGTTCATAAAACGGTTGGTTTCACCGTTCAGTCACAAAACTAGGATCAGTGATAAAATAGCGCTGAAGCAACACACGAAGGCCAATTTCAAAGTTCTAAATAACCGTGCGAACCTCCAAAACGACTTCAAGTACAAGCCTGTCTCCCATAGAAAGCATAGGAAACCGGCACAGCGACATGCTTTTACTATCCGCTTAGCGAAGGCTCATCTGGTGGCGCCGCTTGCAACCAAGGTGACAAGAAGATTTCTTGCGGCTGCAACGGGCGGCATGTGTACACGTGTATATATCGGAGGCCGTTCTTTTTTCGACAACGCGCCCCGCTTTCTCGCAGAGGACGCACGTTGAATTCGTGGAAACACCGACCTTGGCGGGTGATATTTTTGAAGCATTTGTCGATATTTACAACGGACGCTCCACGCCCTACGTCAACGGACGGCCTTGCGGGCGTGGTAAAGGCCCATTGTAGCTATGGCTCCAAACTAAAGTAATAAAGAAGTGCTCCAGGTGTAGCGATCAATTTTGCATGACTTCTTTATCTGAGGCGTAAATATTGATGACTGCAGACCATTACGAAGAAAAGGCAAGCATAAAATGCGGTGTAGAAGGCACGATTCAGAAATATAGTTTAGTAGGATACGTTGTTCGGCTAGTTGGATCATCTTAGTTAAACATATAAAAAAGCGCAAAAAAATACAAGGACAAGAAGTATTCAGGACAAGCGGTAACTTTCAACTAGTTTACTTAGGAAAAGGAAGCATATATACAACCGACAGGCGAAGCAGCACCACATAACAGTTGATTGATTGAGTATACCTATAACAGTTTATTAATTTAGTAGTGATTAATCCAGGGTACCCCCGCAGGGGGCACCTGTGAAAGCAGGTGTTTGGGCAGTGGCGTCTCCACGGACCCCGAGCCATGCGGGTTCGCCCGCCCACGTCTGGCTGTGCGTGGCTTTCCCGTGTCTGGGGAAAAGGGCATCCTGGTGGTTGAGCCGAGCCCGGGGTAGGTTTGGACCCTTCGGGGCTCCCCGGGTGAGGCAATACACAACTTCAGCCCCCGCTTCTCATAGACGGGAGTCCTGGTAAGGCCCGGCCAGGATGATTCAGTCTAGTCGCCATTTCTTCTACTATCCCCTCCGATCTTTCACTTTTACCTTTCCTGTTTCCTTTACTTCTCTCTCACTTATCTTACTCCTTTTTCACCCCTCTTTGGCGGCAAGGGCTAACCTTGGGTGGCAATGGACCTCTGTCTTGACCCACAATTGGGTATAGTTTCCCGGCAGCACTGTTAGCGTAACGTCTCCAGCCAAGCCCCTCTTGTTATGGTGCGTTACCTAACCCCTTGTTGGGCTCGGTGGTGGGCGGTGCACCGCGGATACCGAACACTCTTTGCCCTCCTATGGCGCCCCACCCCTCCAAACCCCGTTCAGGGCAAGCCTTTAAAAGGCGCTGCCTTGAACACAAAACCATTGAAAAAGAATCTAAGGAAGAAACCTTTACAAAGTTTTTTGTCGTTCATTCGCTGGATGAACAGAAACCAGTTGCAAAGCTCTCACCCTTTGTTGTAGCTAAAGTTCTTGAGCACCTTGTAAGGTTCTCCTATAAGGCAAAGAAGCTCCACTGTGGAAACGTCCTTGTGGAGGTAGAAACAAAAAAACAAAGTGAAGCACTCTCTAAGATGACCAACATTGTTGACTTGAAAGTGTCGGTGAGCCCTCACCGTACACTTAACACCTTTCGTAGTGTCCTCTCTGAGGATGACTTCCTTCATACCAGCGAGGATGACATTCTTGAGGGCCTCGAAGGCTCTGGTGTCGTCGCCGTCAAACGAATAATGTTTAAAAAGAATGGTGAAGAGATTCCCTCTAAGCATGTTATTTTGAATTTCGAGAGACACACTCTACCAGAGACAATTAAAGCAGGGTACCTTAATTGCCAGATCCGCCCTTATGTCCCCAACCCACAGCGGTGCTTCCGTTGTCAGCGTTTTGGCCACGTGTCACGCAGCTGTCGCGGAAGCGAGACATGTGCAAAGTGTGGAAGTCAAGGACACGTCTCCGACATTTGCGAGGCCGCGGCCCATTGCGCTAACTGCGGTGGACCACACCCCGCTTACTACCGCAGCTGTCCTTTCTTTCAGCAAGAAAAAGATATTCTTGCCCTGAAAGTCAAAGAAAATATTACATACGTGGAAGCAAAAAAACGCTTTTCCTTTTTGTCAAAGGTGCCTCCGAGCGCGGTGCGGTGCAGGGGCCCTGCACCGCGCTCGGAGTCAAGGGCCACCCAGGTCTCTCCCGAGATCTTGGCGGCCGACCTCAGGGCCCCAGCTCCCCGAGAGGGGCAGCAGCAGCTTCCCCCAGTCCCTGGTGGTAGCACGCGTGCTGCCCCTCCATCCAAGGACAGGCCGGCAGCAGCCGCGCCTGTCCCCTCTCCTAGGTCCACTCCTAGGAAGGAGCGAGCTTCTCGCTCCTGCTCGCTGGAGAGGGTCCCCCTACCGAAGGAGCAGCATGGTACCCATGCAGCTCCTGTGAAAGGAGGTGTCAAGACAAGCTTGGGTGACCCCTTGCCCAGTTCGTCCGCCACTCCTCCATCCGGTCGTGGCCGGGGTTTTCCCCCACTCGTGCCAGGCCGGACCAGCTCTGTCATGCTCCATCCACCAGACACTTCCCAGGACATGGAGATACCAACTGATGCTGACAGTCAGTCTACTCCTGGGTCCGACTAGGATGGTATGGAATGGGAGACAGCTTCTCTTAAATCTAAAAAGAAGCAACCTGTAGTAGCGCCCAAGTGATAGCCCCGATAGCTGTTGCATTGCGATCACATCTTCCACCTAGCTCGAGTTAGCTCTCCATAGTTTTATTTATTTTGCTAGGTTTTATCTCCTTATATTTATATATTTACACACTTTTTTAATAGATGACAAAGTTACATTTTATGCAATGCAACTGTCGCGGTATTTTAAGAAATATTGATGATGTCAATCATTTCATGGATGAGCTTCGACCCATCGCTCTTGCCTTGCAAGAAACCCATCTTCAGTCTAATTCTTTTAACATTTTAAGACGTCATCAGGTTTTTAGGAAAGACCGTCCCGCTTGCACTCCTTCTGGTGGCGTTGCAGTAGTTGTGCAGAGTGGAGTCGCTTGCTCTCAAGTTCCACTCCGCACACCTCTGGAGGCTGTTGCAGTGCGTCTCCTCGTGGACCGCTTTGTAACGCTTGTTTCTTTATACTTACCACCAAATATTCCTTTCAATCTTCAAGAGCTGCAGGGACTTGTAGGACAGCTTCCTCAACCATTTTTAATTTTGGGTGATTTTAACGCTCATCATCCCATGTGGGGCAGTACCCGTCAAGACTCCCGGGGTGGTGTTATTGAACGTCTTTTATTGTCTTCTGGGCTATGTCTTCTTAACGGGAAAGAACCAACTTTTTTAGTGCGGCTCACAACTCATTCACATCTATTGATCTTTCTATCGCTTCACCTTCATTACTTCCTTGCTTTTCATGGAAGGTTCTCCATAACCCTTTTGAAAGTGATCCCTATCCTATTGTTTTAGAAAGTACTGTTCCATTGCCTAATCTTTTAAAGCGTCCCCCTAGGTGGAAATTAGACAAGGCTGACTGGACACTTTTTAATCTTCACTCCACTTTAGATCCTTCGATTCTTTCTTCTTTGTCACCCGAGAACGCTACACTTCATGTTACTGAGCAGTTACTAAGGGTTGCTCAGCGCTCTATTCCACAAACTTCTGGTAATGTGCCAAAAAATGTAAACCTTGGTGGAACAAGGAGTGTGCCACAACCCTGGCAGATCAAGACAAGGCCTGGGAAAGATTTCGTAGATATCCCACTTCGCACAACCTTGTGGAGTTCAAACGCCGAAAAGCCAAGGCTCGTTGGACTAGGAAGCAGGCAAAACGGAAGCCTTGGATGAAGTACCTGTCTTCTGTAACTAGTTTTGTCCCTGCCAAAGAGGCCTGGGACAGATATAGGAAAGTAAATGGGGATTATAGGTGTTTTGCCATCCCAACGTTTAATGCTCCTTGTTCGTCATTAAAAGACATAGCTAACATCCTCGGAGAACATTTTTATAATTCATCCAGCTCGGCCAACTACAGTGCTAACTTCACACACTTTAAAGCCCGTGCGGAGCAACAAACGCTAGTCGTAACTGGAGGAAAGGCAGCCTCTTATAATCGGCCATTAACGCGATATGAACTTGAGATGGCCCTTAATGTAAAAAAGCTATCTGCTCCTGGGCCCGATGGGCTTCACTATGAAATGCTTCGTAACCTGTCCACGGAATCCCTTGAAAACCTCCTTCTTTTTTCTAATTCTTTATGTGAAAAGGCTTGTTTTCCTCAGACTTGGAGGCATGCACATATTATTCCCCTTCTAAAACCTAATAAAGATCCTTCACAGCCATCAAGTTACCGCCCAATCGCACTAACGAGCTGCCTCGGAAAAACGTTTGAAAGGCTGATAAACAGGCAACTGGTTTATGTATTGGAACCACAGAGGGCCTTTGATAACAACCAGTGTGGATTCCGCCGAGGTCGTTCTACTCTCGATCACTTGGTACGCTTGGAAACTGTGATACGTGAGGCATTTGTAAACCGGCAGCACTGTGTCGCAGTTTTTTTTCGATTCGGAGAAGGCATATGATACAGCGTGGAAACATGGGATTCTTCAAGATCTGTATGCATGTAATATCCGTGGCCGTATGCTGTAATGCACAAGGGAATATCTAACAAACAGG